TGTGCCTGAAGTCCATCAGTGTCCATCCATCTTCATCAAGAAAGCAGGCACATTTCTTGACATAAAGCACCGTTGACTGCTCTGACAGAAATCCACTATTCACTGAGATTTTTGTCATTTATTTGAGTACTTTTGGTATCCTCCATTCATTCAACTGTCTTTCTTTCTTTAGTTTTTCCTTGACTTTTCTCTTTTTTTTTTCTCTTTTTTTTTCCCGTTTTTTAGATAGGGAAGCTTCCTATTGTTTCACAGAGTGCTACAATACTTGCTTTGATGTCACATTAAACAAATGTACATTGTCTCTTTGTTCTCATTAAGTGTCCTTTAGAGCCAGTTTTTTTCACATGGGAGAACAAATAAAGTATACAGTCAATAAAGCACCATACATAGTAGGTTCAGGAATGTAACAAACCATGTACATCCATGTCCCAGAGAGAAGTTTGTTTGTTTTTCTAGCTTATTTTCACCTTACATCTGCAGGAGAGAAAAAAGATACAATAACTCCATGGTTAGAATCCAAGGTCCTATCCTCCGAGTAGATGTCTTCAAAAAAAAAACTATTCTGCATGAAGAGTCACTAACCTGGGACAAGAAGCTCTAAATGCTGTTTTGATTGAGTTTACATGCTCACTTTTAAAGATGAATTTTACAAAATCTTTGCTTCTATCATACTACTCCCAATAAATACCTGTTAATCTGAAACAGGATATCAAGTTTAGCATTCTTGAAAAATGATACATTGGTATAAATGAAAATCGGACATTGGGAGTTCAAGTGCAAAAAAAATAAAAAGTGTAAAAGTGTTTCAATTAAATTCATCATCACCCAGCAGTTAGGCACATTTACTGCAAAATCCAAATAATTCCCGCTCAAAACATGAGAACCGTCTGCAAATGTTGTGGTTCATATGGCTTCCGGTATTTTAGAAAGGCAAAAGTCTGTATTCAATTTGGGAATTTTACAGCTGACATCACACTTTGCCACTGTTGATCAAAGAATTTTAACCAAGCTTTAAAGTGTAAGCGGTTTTTTGTTACGCACTGTGAACGTCATGAGTTTTGACGATATCCTAATCTTGAGCCATTGTGATCATACATCCCTGGGAAGCCATCAGACCAATAAAGGTTCTTAGCTCTTTGGTACAAATAGTACGGGGCCTCATCACAAAAAAAATGGGTGTCCTCCTGGGTTTTATTAAAGCAAGCAGCGATTCAGAACATTTCAGCACATGTATAATCAGGCCCAGTTCATGCCAAAAAAAAGGTCGATGATCATGCATGTAATTAGATTCATCATACATATACTCAATGTTTTCACAACCGACTGCTTGGAACGCAAACCGTTTGTAACCTGACAATTCATTCATGCATTATTATGTGATGCTTTGACCCCAGGAATCAATAATAATGAAACGAAAGCAAAGGAAATGGAACTTGAGATTTTGGAAGTTTAGGCATTAGCACCCTCAGAAAAAAAATTAAAACAAAAAGCAAGAAAAGGAAGGAGCTCAAGAATGTAAGATGCTTATGGTGATGTGTAGCTTAAAGGGGAAATACCAGCAGGTAGCATTATTAAAGCCAATCATATCTAATCTCTTTGCAGCCTTGAGGTAGCAAGTGTCAAGATTTGGAATAGTGATTAAGTTGAAGTGATGGTATTTGATTAAGTTTTCCATTACTTGTGCTATTACGGTGTTCAGCATATAGGTCCTACCTGATATCAAATAGTTCCAGTAGTTTTTAGGTTGGTTTTAACTTTTTTCGTTTCCGTTTTTTACCTGTTTCCCTAGGCCTTCCTGTTAACATAAGGGCAGGGCTGGTAAAAAGCCCTAAGGTAATGCATTTTGTTGAAAACTGAAGTAATAAAAACTCAAGATGTTTATCTTTCAAAGCAAACTCATTATACTTTGCATTAAAGGTATAACATTATAGCTGCTGATTTTGAAATGCTGTTTATCAAGGTTTAGATAGTGATTAGACAAAAACAAGCAACCAATAATCCAAGATGGCCTTACAAGGGATCCGGCTATAACTACTGTGACTAGTGTGTCTTCAATATTGGCCCTTGACCCCTGGTTTTCCCATTGCCACCCTCTTGCTAATGCAAATGTTATTTTGCCTTCAACTGTGGATGTAAGTAAATGATTTCTTCTGTTGTGACTATTCCCATCAGGAAGCTGGTTTTGAACTGTTCTCCCAGGTTTGGTTTTTTTTCATACATACAAAAAAAAATGCTGTAAACTCGAAATTTCAACTGCTTTGTCTCTGCCCAAGACAAACATTTGGGAAAACTGAATTGGATCAGATATGGGTTTCAGGTATGGGACATTAAACAATTTGCAAACCAGGGAAGACGCTGAGTTTTTATGTATGGATTAACAAGCAAAACAAACACATGCAGCTTGGTTTATATATTGCAGTTTAATGGGAACAGTTCCTAGTTTCTCTGCTTGTAGAGGATAATTTATAGGACCAGACACTTCCCCAGGGTTTCAGCAGCTTTGTGCCTGTGGAGCAGCACAGGGCACCACAATCTGCCCTTCTTTGCTGAGCTGTGTCTGCCACCACCATAGAGAAGCTCGCAGATGGCATGAAACAGCATTTCCAACCCTGGTCAGGGGGGTGCCTGCACTCCCCCAATTCTGAAAGTGGCAGGGTCCCTCGTGAGCTCACGTAAGTTAAATCAAAACTCCCAAGCTACTCTAACTTATCAGGGATAGGATGCGACCTGGGCAGCTTGCTTTGTAACCAGCTTCCTGAATACCTCTCACCCCTTGCATTTAGCGTATTTTCACGCAGGAGAGAATCCAGACAGTTTTTTATAAAAACCACAGACAGCAAGTATTCTTCCCATGAAACCTTTTCCTATATATAATGAAGCAGCTTTACGTTCAATGTGATGACTTAACAACAATCTCTGGGGCATATATAAGAGTGGGTCCAGAAATGGCAGCAGAGTTAATGCTGTTGTGGGATTTCAAAAGTCCTTTCTTTGGAACATACAAATGCTTTCTAAATAAAATTTTTGGTCACTTCAAACACGGTCTTCCCCCAAGTGAAATAAATTCCCAGGCTAACTTCCTCCATAAAGTCCAAAGTCATTCTTGGATAGAACTGATAGAATTTACCAAAAAGCTAGACAATGAAACCTTCCAGTTAGGCAAGGTTTCTACGTTATGCACCGTACGTTTCCTTTAGAGGGCACACTAAGAAAACTGCTGCAGTTTAACCTTTTAATTCAAAATCTTTTATCCAATACATATCCTAGTTTAATTCCATGCCTTCAATACACAGAGGAGTGTCAACTCAATAGGAGTTTTCTCTTTGAGTTCAATGGGTGTACATTTTGACCTTTATTCTTTTACTGTCACAAGGACAAGTATAAATTTTCATCTGAAAAAAGCATACATGCAAAAAAATAAAAGGAAGACATACCAGTTTCTTCTTCTCGATAATCTGAATTAGAATTTGATGATGTACAGGTGCACTCCATATGCTCTTCTAACCTCACCAGAACTTCTTTTAATTTTGGCTTTTTTCTAACATATTCCACTTTTGCCACCTATGAAAAATGATAGTGTATATGCTATTAACACATAACAGGATTGCAGATACACAGCTAAACATAGGTATTTTAATGCAATCAGTCTCACTGAGATCTATAACAGATATTTTTAATCTTAGTAGAGAATTACCTATTTTATTGCACAGAATGTATCCTTTTCAATGAGTTTAGCAATTTTAAAAAGACTAGGGTATCCCCCCGACCCCGCAAGAGGCAGAAGTACAACATCTTTGATCTTGACTTCTCTCTTATGTCAGTTTGAAGTCACAAGCAATCCAGGGTTTTTCTAAAGCAAGGTACATTTTTCTGTACAGATCCAGACATCTCCCCATATTCTGAATTATCCGCTTCTAATATATTTCTCTCTCCACCACATTTTACTGATGCTGCATTGATTACCAACTGATTTTAAGACCGACACAAACAGTGATGTTGAAATCACCAGTATATAATCAGAAATATGAGGAAAACAATAGCTCCACAAACGGAAGCTGTTTTGAAACCCAAGATGTGAGTGACATCTCAGTAAGGGACAGTCTTGATCCCAGAGAATTCTTGGAGTAACCTGGGACAACCTTCAAATGAATGAGAGCTCACTTAAATTTAAAGGACAATCCTCTACTTGGGGGCAGACATAAAGGAGATCAAAAGCTTTTAAAAAGTCTCTGTTGATACGGTACCCATCACACTCAAAAAAGAGTCTCTGTCTAACATGGAAGTGTAGCTGTGCAGAATGCATGTAATTTTGCTAGTATTTGCACTGAAGGTCCAGACTGGTCTAGGTTTTAGTGAACTATTGTGGTTAAACAGAGTTTAAGCAAATTGCAACAGAGTTTGGCTGGCTAGTATAGACTGTGACAGAATACCAACTAAGCAATGTTTTGATATGAACTGGCATCATTCACATTGACAAACCCAACCTTCCTACCACCCCATACAGCTACAGGTGAATTAACTCTAAGTGGAACTAACATGAACAGGGCCACTCTGGTTTACACGTCTAATTTGCAGTGATGTGACATCAAGTACTCCATTTGACAGTTGGGGGTTATGCGGGTTGTCACATAAAACTACATAATTCTGATATTGCATTGCAGTGCACTCCACTCCGACATATATTGGATTATATGCTTACCTGCCTAACAATACTGGTCCCAATTTTTTGCCTATTATTTGCATTATAACAATAATGGTTTTCTGCATATTGGATAAGTGTATGCATGACTTCATAGGAGCTCTGGCCCCTCTGTCTACTTTGTGATGCAGCTGTACTGTGCTGAACTACATAACTGGTGAAACCGACTAGAGCCGTCAATTGCAAGGCTTGTGTGGCAACCCTGAACTGACTAGGTCCTGTCAATTTCAAGACAGCCATTAAAGGAACAGGCCCCTCTAAGGAACAATATAACAGACCTTCATGTGATGCAAAAACCATAGAGCATGCTGTAACTGTAACTGAGGAGCATGGTTTACAATGACTGAATACTCCGGGTAAATGCAGTCTTTTCTCAGACCCAAGGTCTCACTGTATCTTACACAAAATAAAAAAAAGTGTCTCTGGGTCAGTGACACCTTGCACAATTAACATCATTGTGGGGTGCTGATCTCTCACTATCAGCCAACCTATGTAACAACATCATCGATGCGGTTGTTCAAAATTACCGCAGTATTTACGGTCTTTACCAGACCCTTCTAGTAATGGTGTGCTGATGTCCTTAACTGGGTTTCTAACACACCTACTAGCCTTGACATTGAGAAACCAGTGAGCCTCTGTCCTTCTGAAGTACAAAATCGTTCTTAAAAAATGAACATGATGATTGAAGAAAGTTACGTTTCCCAAGTCCCAGAAGCCTGGCTTCAGCTTTCTGAGGACACACTACCAGTGGCATCTGAATGAATGTAGCAGGAGCAAGATTAGTCCTGGCACCATTAAAGTCAATGGGACTTTTGCCACTGACTTCAAGGGAGCCAAGATTTCAAACTTACATTTCAGTCACTGTCTCCTTTGTCAACAAGACCTGGAGCCTATTTTGATTTGCTCAGTAAACAAAAGTTCTGCAGAGACAGATGCAGTAGCTAAAATATCCACATTAAAGACATTTTCCAAGGCTGTCAGATTTCCATACAGATTTAGAGCTGGCTGCAACATGTAAGAATACTTTTACGGAAAGGTCAACCATGGGTCAAAGCAATATGCTTCAAAATCTTCTATCAGAGTCTAACTCCACCAAGGCTTTGAATGCAAAGATTTGAAAATGTATGGTACATTTGAGTCATCCGGCATCAAAGGATGACTAATCCTCACAATTTACAATAACAAACAGTGATTAAGTCCTCCATAACCAGAGACACAGAAAGAGACCCAGCAATCATGAAAGAGCTTTGATATCTGCCATGCTTATTCCAATTGTTGGAATTAACTGGCAGCATTGAAAATTACATGCAACCAGAATAAACTATAATCAAACTCTTTTTTAGTCCTTCCCTGGTCTATTTTTTCTCCAAAAAGACATAACTATATATATACCCCTTCCACTATTGACTTTGTATTACATGCACTGAAGAATATAAGTGGAGATATTTAAAGACTGGGCATATAGGAAAGCACAGCTGCAAGGGATCTCATGAGCCTGTTCCAATGCTTGACCACCTTCGTACTCAGAAAGTTGTTTTTAATCTCCAGCCTAAATTTCCTGTACTGATGTTTGAGACCACTGCCCCTGGATCAATCCCCTACAGCCACAGAAAAAAGCCCATTTCTTTCCTCTCTAGAATTGCCCTTCAGGTATTTGAAGATTTATCAAATACCCCCTTGGTCTTCTCTTCTCCAGGCTAAATATTCGAGCTCTTTCAGCCTTTCCTCACAAATCTTGCTTCCCAGGCCTCTCATCATTTCTGTTGCTTTCCACTGGATTCTTTCCAACCTGTCCACATCTGTTTTTGTGGACACACTACTCCAGGTGAGGCCCCACCAGTCCTGAGCATAGCAGAAGACTCAGTTCTTTTGATTTTTAGAGACACTTCTATTAATGCAACACAGTAACCTGTTGGCTTTTTTGTGTGCAAGAACACATTGCTGACTCATATTCAGCTTATGGTCCACTATAATGGATGATAACCTACTTCACAGACCATTCAAAATGTGAGGCTTTCACGGAAGTACATCTGTAAATTTAAACAGACCCCACACTTTATTCCCTCTTCCTGCTTCAGGCAACACCAGTTACAAGAATGAAGATTAATAAGATGCTGTAAACATTCATTTTTGCAAGTTAAAGCAACGCAGAATACAATTAAATTGCAAAGCCTGTGTCATCTCATAACACCTGCTGCCACCATGGGATCTATAATTAATGCTAACTCAAACTGATACAGGCTCAGCGCCAAATTTGCAGCTGGTGTAAATTGACAGCTATGCCAACATAACAGAATATGGCCCTAGATTAGCATCTTTTGGCTTCATATTTTCATCATTTCCTCCATCCCCCTCATCCTGCCATGGTGTTTAACATTCTCCTTAGAGCAACAAGTTAATCACATGCTATTGCACACTACCCAGTGTTTTGAAGTAGTTAGCCATAAGCAAACCACTCATTCCACATGATCCCCTTTAACCTTTGTTCAATGCAACAAAAACCAAGAGCCTTGATAAAAAAAAAATATCAAGGAAATATTATTTTATCTCAAGGGGAGATCACTTCTATTTGTGCCTTTGAAAATCTATCCATGATATAATAAACCACATCCTATGACTTGGGGTACAGCGTTTCTGTCCCTATGATCTTTGATCACACTCCTATTATATCGATGGGTGCTATGTAGCAGTTATAAACATTTGGTCTGGTGGAAACATATATGCGATATTGCCAGCCCCAAGATGAAGGAAGTGCTTTAGGTTATTCAGAAGTATTACTAAATGAATGGCAGTAATGGCTTTCCTGCACAGAGTCAGAGCTTGTGAAACCCTGAAAGCATGTGAGCATAAAAATAACATTAATTCTGGTCAGGAACTTACAGGAAAGTCCTCATCATGGAAGACCACTTTTATATCAATTGCATGTAGGCATTAAAAACTCAGAGCTTGCCCAAATTAGGATGTGGATTAGAAATGGAACAACTAAACCAGGCATCTCTGCTCCACTTCAAAATAAATTAGCTACGGAGGAAAGGAATGAGGCTCTATGGACTTTGGCAACCCTAAAGGATGCAATTATGAGGTGAAGATAAAAAGACAAGATGGGGTATAAAACTGGGATCTTTAGAGACAAGAAGTCACCTGGGATCAAACTACAGCTGAGGCAAAGTGTGTTTGCCTACAACAGCTACAAAACTTTATGGCACATGAATTCACTGATGGGATGAAGGCAAAGAAAGATACAGAACAGGATAGATGATGACCAGGAGAGAACACCAGGGAGAAGGGAAGTAGTAGGTAAAGGGAGTTACTACAAGATGCAACGCATGCAGAGAAGATGGAAGTGTAAATTCATTCCCTTCATTGTTCATAAAAGCTATTTAGATTGACCATTTTCTGATCTGTAGAAGGACTAGTCAATAATATGTTGGGGCGGGAGGGTGTTTAAATCAGAAAAATGGCCTCTTCAAAAAAGAAACAAGTCATTAAAAACAACTTTGCATTTTTCTGATTTTTCAGTAATTTTTAAAGACTTTTTCAACCAAATTTTTTGTAAAACAGTTATCAAAATAGCTTGTTTGCTAATATGATAATCTAGTAATTTTAGGAAAAAGAAAGAAAATGTTATAACCATTCTATAAGTGATACAATTTCACCAAAAATTAAAGATGCAAGTCTCTCTCAAACACCAAAACATGGAAAGCATGTTTTTTTATAGCATGAGTTTTACCTGGATTGGGACAAATATTCAGACCCGTGTGTGTATTTCTTTGTTCTACTATCCCAACAGTGTTTCTCATCTTGGAGGGAACAAGGATGCATCGCTTTCTTATAAGCATATAAAAATAAACATAGTTCTTAC